GAAAAAAAAAATAGTTTTCTGCTAAATTTCTTTGAAATCCAAAGAAGATCTTCATTTCCTTCTTCAAAATTTTGTTTTGTCTGGAATTCAATCTATCCAGTTCGATGAAACCAAGGTACGCTGTATTGTGAATTTCATGATTTTTGATTTTCTTTTTTTTTTTTCTTCCTTCATGATCATATTCCACAAAAAATTCAAACATTAAGATTTTCCATATTTACTTGATTAATTAGTAGAACTATATGTATCATGAGATTGTACATGTTTGTTGAATTGGAGGAAATTATCTGGATACAAAATTTTTGAAAATTCCGAATTTAATTATGCAAAAGTAATGAATGCATGTTCTATGTCATGACTCATTCTATACAACATGTTCAAAGTTTGATTAGTCCACACGGCATATCATTAGTCCTAATTAATTAATTGATTAATTATTTAATCATTTTTTTCTAACATTATCTAAGCAGAATGAGTACCTCACCAGCCACGCTCAGAAAGGAATTTCTGAAGAAATGGATAAAGGGCCTCCACGTGTACACCAATTTCAACAAGGGTAGTATGGGAATTCTCGACCGTAAACGGGCCATCAAGCTCTCGGCTGACGCAGCCATGGCCTCGACCCGCAGGGCCGCGACCCACTGGAGCCAGGCCCTGATGGACAACGTCATCTCGTCATCCAATGGGCCCAACAGGATCCTTGTCGAACAAATATTGGGCCGTAAATTACCAGCCCACAACAACAATAACACCAATAATTTGGCGACGATTGCATGCAGCAAGAGGATTTTACGAAAAAGCCGCATCATAAGCGCGCATCGCAGGGTTGTACCTCGGCGCGTGAAATCGAGCCCCGATTATGTCGCGAGGAAGCTCGTGATGAACAAGACGCGCGTGCTTAAGAGGCTTGTACCGGGAGGAGAGAGAATGGACGAGGGGTGTTTGATCCGCGAAACCCTAGATTATATCTCATCCCTTAAGGTGCAGGTGGACGTTATGCGATTTCTGGCTGCTGCTGCTCAGAAATTGGAGGCTTAATATATATTAGATGTATTTATATCTACATTGTTTTAAATTATTGAAAAAAAATATTATATATTAAATTTTTTAATTTCAATTTTACGAGATGCAATGAGAGCTCCTACGGGATGTAATTGCATGTGTACAGGGAAGGTTGTGAGGAGTATTCACGTGCAATATATTGTTGATTTAAGCAGTGAATTATATCTATTTATTATGATCAAGATTAAGGGAGATATGTTTATATATTTGTCTCTATTGGTAATTTTTTTCATCTTAAAAAAAAATGATGATGATTGATGATGATGATGATGATGTTTTCTTGTAATTTCATGATGTTTGATTTTTGTCAGGAAATGAGCACACATGTTGAAGTGAAGATGGACACTTTAACATTAAACGAGCTACAGTTGATGTGATTGTATGTACTTGTTTGGATGTTAAATTTTTTACATTTTCACCACAATACAAAATTATTTTGTTAAAAAAAAGGTATATTAATCTTAAAATAAGTTCAACTATTAATTCATGTTTATCTATAAAATAAGGAAAAAACTGTGTTAAGTTGTATTCATCCATTCATATCATTCTAACTACTATTTTCGCTTTATTTATTTTTCTCATTTATATTTTTTTTAGTTTACATCAATCACACTTTTTCTTTGTGTTCTTTATTTTTTTTTCTAGATATTTTAATATGTTAAAAAGAAAAAAAAAATTACAATGAAACCATGTCCATGGAACCTATAGAAGGGACCAAAAGTTGTCTATTGAAGAATATAATCTCCCTTGGATAAAAATCATTGATAGTGGGCTTGGCCCATTTTAAGAAGGCCTATGCTTAGATATAGCTTTATTAAGGATGCTAGGATGTAAATGAACTGAATCGAAACGAAGCGAATACGTAACTATTCTATTCGTGAAAATATTTGATTATCTATAATCGTATTTGGTTTGTTATCGAATTTCATTTATAGTTCGTATTTGATTTAGTATCGAATTTAATCGAATATATCCAATTCGATTCGAATCTTTTTTCAGAAATTATTTATATATTGTTAAAATATATTTTCATAATTTAATGTTTATTATAAATTAATATGAATATATATAGAAACATATTTTTTTAATAATATTTGATATATGTTGTAAATTGTTGATACATGAATTTGTCCGACCTAAAATAAAGACCACTAAAATAAATATTGATGTCATCACCGGTCCAACGCACGCATATTTCCCAGAGTCCAGGAGTATTCAAATAAGAAGGAAAAACGCCGATACTCTCTCTCTCTCTCTCTCTCTCTCTCTCTCTCTCTCTCTCTCTCTCTCTCTCTTTCTCTCTCTCTCTCTCTTTAAGCTTTCACTTGTATTTCGTGTTCTTCCAGCCTTTTAAAGGTTATGTGTACAAAGAGGCTCGGGGATGGCCCATCCAATTAATGAAATCGTTTGTGCATGTACCTTAATTCGTCGGCAGATACGAGCACCACATAACCACGCTAAAATCAACCTTAAAAATTTTAAAGTACCACATAATAACAAAGTCATTTCCTCGATGGCCCAGTTGGCGCAAACACACGTCAACATAAGTATAATATATTTTATTAGTTTATATTTATATTTAATGTATATTATACAAATAAAAAATTACAATTTATATATTCAATATAATTATTATTAACGAATCTGATATTCAATTCAAATCGAACATGTGAATATTCAAATTTGGATTTGTATATATTTTGAATATTAAAACCTATTGTCATTGGAATTCGAATTCGATTTTTTACAAATACGAATCGGATTCTTTTAATAAAAGGCCATTGTGATGATCTGTTCACAATAGTTTGCTATACACTAATAAATAGCTATTAATTGAAAATTGTGAACTAATTAATTGAAGAGTTGTTCCTAGTTAGAAAACTTCTAATTAATTTTATGAGCTTTGACATCTCAATGGCGAGTGATTACGACAAAGGGAATTTTTATACATACTCATGATGCTTTACGCTTCTTATGAATTATGAAGATTATTATATAATGACTTTTAATTAAGCATCGATCCATATTCATTGAACTTTTAATACTAAAATACTTCAATTCTATTCCTTTCCCTAGATCCAATTATCATTAGGCATGCGAATGCGATCAACTTTATTCTTCGTGGTATAAGATTATTTTGTCAAAAGCAATTAAAAGGGATTTGAAGATTTTATTCTTATAGCCGATATCCTTAATATTTGTATCATTTCATTAAAAAAGAAAATTAAAAATTAAAAATCATCTCTTTCCTTGAAATATTTTGAAACCTGGACGCGTCCGGATCAACCCTGATTTAGTCCAGTTCGGATGGGTCATTCGGGGGGCAATTAATTTGGTCAAACCAAACCTATGACTGGTCAAAATTTAGTTGACTCGGGCATTGATAGAGTTGGGTCAATTGTTTGCCCCATATTATTGTTTTTTTTAAATATTATTAATTTTAAAAATAAAATTATATATATGTATATATCTATGCAATAAATGTTTATAACGTTATACAACATTATTAAAAATAAATTTTTATTTATTTTCTTCAAGAAGTATTTAANTATTAAAACTCAAAGGAAAAAATATTATGTATTTTATTTTATTTCTTAAATTAATACTCCCTCCTATTCTTTTTAAAGGTTGTTATGTGGTTTAACACATAGATTAAGAATACTTTTTGCCAATATTAGTCTTATTTAAAGCAAATTAACATTAATTAACTTCTTTCTTTTCAACTTTTTATGTACTTTTTGAAGAGAAAACTCATAGTTTTCCACAATGTTCCTACCAAAATGTGCAGTGTGTTAATTAAATGAGAGTAACAATGAAAAAATATGTATAAAAGATCTAAAACATCATTTATTTAATTAATGATTAATAAAGCAAAAATGACAAATAAAAAGAATATGAGGAAGTATTTGGTTTGGATCCAATGACCCGAACACCAAACCCGGGTCATTGTCAATATTTCAAACATTACTTTCTTGCATCATGTAACTAATAATAAAGGTGGATTAACCGGCATTTGAAATAATTATGCCACCTAAAGAGCCCCCCCCTAGGCCCTAATAATTAATTATCAAAGAAACATTTGCACAACCTTGCTGACGAGTGCATGAGAATTTAGACAATATAACCTTCTCAGTTGTCCAAACATAATAATTACACTCAGAAAAAGTTAAATTTCATTTTACTTTTTTAATCAAGATGGTAATCATCAAGCTTAACTTTTGTCTTAGATATTATAATGATCAAACTTCAATGATCAAGGGCAACTTGGGTAATCCCCATAAAGTTTTAGTTTTATGTTTAACTCCAGCACGTAAATTTCTCAGTCTCATTCGAAACGTAATAGTAATACTTAAAAATTAATTAATTAAGAACTCATTACTTCTGCAATGGAACTTATTATTGTAATATCTTGATAACTTTAAAAAATTATATGCATCCGCATACATTAAAACATCTAATAAACTTCCCAAATATCTTTACTATTTATTGGTGATATTTATACAAGTCATTCATCAGACTCTAAAATGAACATCTAGAATTACTATTGTAAGTAATCTGTAAAGGAAAATAATAATGAAAAAAAAATGAAATAATAAGGGGCCCTTAAAAACCTACTCTTATCAAGTTATTGAAATCCTCATCATGTCTCATGAGTGGTGAGCATGTGTAGCTCCCCGGTTCCCCCATAGAAAATTAACAAATATAATCTGCTTGAATTATATAAGTAAAGATTGAACAATATGCTTTAATGGGTCCTTTAACTTCCTTCACCATGAAATTAATATTATCAAATTTCATTGCAGACCAAGTTTTGTGATTGTTACATATTTTTAATTTGAATGGAGATAAGTGAGATGACATAAAGAAGCTGCACTCTTTTGCATCTTGGCCTTCGTGGGTTCTCATCTCATACATGACCCATGGATGCTAACACAAAAAATAAATCACAAAAATTACCTATCTTTTCCACTTCTTTACAAATGAGCCCATTCATATTATCACACTTTAGACCACAACCCCTTTTATTGGTTGTATTTACCAATAGAGGTATTACTAGAGACGAGCCGAGTAGTAGATGTTCAAGTTTGTGCTCGTTTAATAAATGCGCCAAAGGCTCAGCTCATGTTCTTGAAGTTCGTGAAAGCTTGACTTGACTCGTTTATCAAACCCAAAATCGTATGTGTTCGTGAACGTGCTCGGATAATAATAAGAAATTAAACATTGTTATCAAACAAATTCGACTCGCTTGATAAACGAGCTTTTTAGTTGTTCGACCTCAATTCATTTAAGTAAACGAACAAGCTGAGCTCGAACTCTGAGTTGTGTTCGCGAACATCACACATCTCTCTGCTTAATAGGTTGTAATAAGTATTACTTAGTAGAACATAAACAATTATGGAGGGGTGTTTGTAACTTTAAAAACATAGCTAAGTCTCAAACTGGAGGACGATTTTGTAATTTAATTAGTCCCTAATATAAATTTAAAAGTTATGCATTCATGCATGGAATGATCCAACTAGTTGTAATGATGTGGGGAGGGAGAAGTACTGTTCCTTCCCATTATTTTGCACACTATACAGCTAAAAATTTAGCAACTTTATAGATGCTTGTGGACCATATATGCTGGTACAAGTGCTCAACATATATATATATATATATATATATATGTATAGGATGTGGTTCAAATGAGAACCAAGTCTTACTGTGAGAACCGTGAGACCGCTATCCCTATATGTATATATATATATATTAAGCCAAAGGGGTGGATAAAACTGATACCTACAAAATTTTGTGATTGAATTCAATTAAAGCTTTAATCTTTCTCAAAAAATCCCATGGAGTTGGCGAAAATCGATCCGGACCACACGCTTTCTCAAGCACATCCTGAGACGATGGATTTGCTTTCTCACGCTTGGTGCGACTTTGCAGTTCAAGCTCTCAAACCTGACGACATGAAAGAAAGATCGCTCGTTTTTCAAGAGGACTCAATCAAGGTGTTTCGAGAGGACTCAATCAAGGTGGATAAAAGCGCGAGGATGGATGATGGAGATAAGTTTATGCCTACTTGGAAAGCCAATGATGTTAAGGTAACCAAACTACAAGAAACAGCAATATATGATGAAGTTTTTACTATCAGATCATTTTTTGTTTAGATTTAGAGAAAACCACTCTTAAACCTTAATAAGCTTACATTGCATGACATTTTAACACAGAGTCCTAGTAGAAGGAGAATATAATGCCCTGAAAAAAATATTTAACCTCTACTCATTTTACCACACACAGTCATGGATATGGATGCAGCAAGCCATGCACCCAGAAGTGAACTACAACTCATTCTTCAGGAAAAAATGGGTAACGAAAAAATCCTTATATTCGCATTCATATCGAAAGCTACACACGTAACAACAATAATAANAAACGCAGAGCCCGTGGAGTAAATATAAACTCGTGCTGCTTAAAAACGTGTCCATCAAGAAATGGGTGACGGAAATCAAGCAGAGGCTGAAGGAGGAGCAGAGGCTGCAGAGGGCGGAGGTCCACGCGGCAGTTTCCGTCGCCGGCGTGGCGGCTGCCCTGGCGGCGATCTCAGCCGAGAACTGCCAGATTGGCGGCGGAGGCTCCGACAGGCTGGCGGAGGCGGCGGCCTCGGCAGCCACCATGGTGGCGGCGCAGTGCGCCAAGGTGGCGGAGGCGATGGGGGCAACGAGGGAGCAGCTGAGAAGCGTCATTGGGTCGGCTGTCGGAGGCACGAGCGCCGGTGAAATCGTGACGCTAACGGCGGCAGCCGCCACATGTAACGAACGAGTTGTCGCTTGTCTGTTTTTATTTTATTATTTTATGGGAGTTTTGATTTGACCTTTTTGTTTGAAGCAATAAGAGGAGTGGATACGCTGAAAGGGAGAGTGGGGCAGAGAAGCAGGTTAAACGGGAGCATGTCTGTGTTACCACTTGCGGACAGTAACGGAGCAGAGTTCGAGTTTGAGAAATGTAGGTCGGTTCTAGCCAGAGGTGCCGAGCTTTATATCGAGACAGCAGATGGTGTGTGATTATAATCATCATCATCAACGTAATTATTATCACAATCAAGAGTTTTTAATATGAATTGCATTTATATTATTTCGGTTTTTTTCTTAGTGTTTTAATCACCTGACCATGAGTTATTCACGAAATGAAAATCGAAACAGGGAGGTATCTGCCAAGGTCAGTAGCGGTTATCCTGAGCAAAGAAGGAAAGGTATTATGTTTCGATCGAGCTTGTTTCGCGCTGTTTTCTTGTGATGTCAATAGTCATACTTTCAGTTCTATGTAGGGTTAAAGAACTGTACTGAAAGTCCTTTTTCTTGAACTACACAGGTTGTTCTCAGAATGAAGAAACTCAACATGCTGAAGGCTTTCACGAGACAAAATGAAAGTAGGTTCTTTTTCATCGATTAATATGGTTAAGCATATTTGAAAAGCCACAATACACATTCACATGATTTTTTTTTATTTTATTTTCTTAATCATTTAGGCATAGTCCGCTCCTTGCACAGCGAACTGTATCAAGCTTCGGATTCTGAGGAAATTGAAAACGGCTACCTCATTGTTTTAACAACGGACAAAGGGGTGACCAAGCTAGACATGATGAACAACTATCAACGTTACAGGACATGGTCAACGACTATAGATCACATGCTGATGCTTTCTGCTGTGTTCACAAAATACGATCAACAGTATTACAAACATTGAGTCATTCTTCTTTTTCATCTGGCGACAATATTTTTGTTTCTGCACAATGTTCATTTGTCATTCTGTCTAACAAATAAATACTGTTCATCTTGTATTTCTTTTTTTTTTCCCCCAATGCATCACTGGTGATTTGCATATAAAGTGAGTTGTATCATAAGATGTGGACATTAATAATGTTATTATATTTTATGTTTGTAAAGTTCACATACTTGTTGTATACTTATCGCCAATGAGAATTTCATAAAACAAGGGGTGCAAGTTCCATTTTGCCCCGGGATTGTAGTTTAATGTGAGTGCAAAGGCAAATCACCTCCCATTTTTCTTGAAATTTCCAATATCAGGTATACTCGGGGGGCATGACGAAATTAAACAAATACAGGATTGTAATTTTCATCAATTAATGTACAGAAAAATGGAAAAATGTGTCTAAAGTTATCACAATTCGTATGTTGTAGGAAGACCTATCCATAAAAGATGCCTTCTGGGCCGGTCCAAAAACCTTGCTTGCCAAGCAGGTTCATCACTTTCTAAAGTGAAACCACTTTTTATGTACAGGTTTTTAGCCGCTTCATTATCCACAGCTACGTGAACGTACAAGTCGCTTATTCCTGAAATATTCATTGAGAACAAGTCTCATGCTACTAAAGGTACCAAAATATAATACCTCTCACTAATGCAACTACAGTACGAGCAAATTGAAGAATGTGATTAATTCCATAACTTAGGTTCTCTAGGTTTCCTCATTTGGGAAAATGCGGAACTATCTCAATTTAAACACACAGACACAAGACACATATTGATTAATTCAAGTAAAATGGAGCTACTATATGATGATTTGACAAATGGTGGCTCCCACAAGTGTAGACACGTGTGTTTGTGTACTTACCCCATTTTTCAGAAACTCTCATTGACTCGGCAATGAGCTCATAACCCAAACCATTACGATGCATTTCTGTAGCCACACAAACGTTGCTAACGTATGCTCTAGCAAAATCAGCTCCGATTCCCTGTCGAGGTGGAACGAATAAAAGTCTATACACTGTGGGAATTGAACGGTTTAAATAAACTCAAGGCATCCTTTATATTTATGAGTTTGAAGCTTAGGTTTCCAAATTCAGAATAACAGACCTATCGAGTAATTCTAGGGTTAGGTTGTCAGACAACGGGTTTTAAACCGCTAGGCTCCTTTAAGATATTCAAATTCAACCAAAACAGAACATCATATTTCAGAAGATTGATGCAATTCAAATCCTTAGGCTCCTTCCTGCGTGAAAAAAGTACCTTAGGCCTCATTCCTATAATTTCATTCGGGAGGCTGATGCATTGGTTTATATCTAGTGTCCCAACAACTACTCGATCTTCTCCATTTTGTGAAAACTGCAAAGAAAGATGGCAAAACAGCAGCATGCCTCATTGGATAATATACTGCAAGGGACAATAATATCCATGATATATCTACCCTGCTAACATTTTAAAATTGGCTAAGTAGTTCACGGCTCACCAATGGTATGTTTGTCATATTTTGACTCATATTCGAAACAAAATGGCTTACGCAGACTGTAACCTCTGAAAATTTGCCACGATGCATTCTTTGGAAAGATGAATGACAGTATATTAACAGAAACATTTTCAATAAACTGCTTGTAGATTTGAATATGATCTGCAGGAAACAATGTCATGACTCTTGATCGGACTACAAGAAACTAAAAGAGGCAGTGCTTACTTTGCAAGAAGCACACAAATCATCCGAGACATTCGCCACTGCCGAGATTGGCAAAGTAGCATTGATGCAAGAAACTCTTCTGAAGCCCTTTATCTTCCCAGCTATACGTTCTATCATTGCTTCAAATTCACGTTCAGCCAAGTATCTTTCATGATCCTAATAAAACTTGACGAGTAGGAAATAATATCAGCCTTATACCAGGGAAAACACTTTAGATTGTGACTAGACATTCTACGTTTGTGCTAATTTTGGGCAACAACTCATTCGGACTATAGTGTCAATATAGCAATACCGTGAAGAAAGTCCAAAGACTGGTATAAAAGACACACACAATAAAAGGCCTTAGAAAGGTCAATTATCACTCTGGATCATATTTAAAGGATGTTAAATACTACAAAAACAGCACGAAAATATTAGATGAGAGATCACACGCAATTTCCTATTAAGAACGACCGGTAAGGAGCCCAACGAACGTGAATTCACATGGCTGAATCAGTATTGGATGAATATACTTGAAAAAGAATCACGATCTTCAACAATAGAGCAGAAAAAAAATGCAATACTATCCATCTCACCACATATTCCACAGTCAAAGTAGCACACGCACATTTTATCAAGCAAATGAAGCATTTAACAGAAAAATTGTGAGATATCGAGATGAATTAACTGAAATCGACTTCAAAAAGTTCAATCAACCATCCGTTTTCACTTCTAACGAACACAGGAAGTTGAAAAATTGGCCAGGGAAAAAAAAATGTTCGCAGCATGACAATCACCTCGATGCCGTAAGTCTGCTTATTGAAGTCGTAGAAGGTCCGGACACGGAGGCGCGCGGCGGCCCACAGCTCCGCCTCGAAGCTCGTCTCCGACACTGACAGCAACGACCTGTCAATTCCACCTGTCCTCGGCAGGATTCGCAATTGAGGGGCCGTCGGGTGGTCCGACAATTGGCAATAGGGACCGGGCGGGCGGAGGCCAGGCCGACGGCGGAGGAGGAAAGGGAATCCGGCGACGGCGTGAGCGAGCTCGGAGTGAAAGCGGCGGCCAGCTTGCGGACGAGGAAATGGTGGTGGTGATGGCGATTGGATTTGGATAGCCATCTCTGCTTTTCCCCTCCACCACTCAAAACGTTTGGTAACATCAGTTGACCCGAAATAGAGTCAAGGTTACGTCGATGGCGGGTTATTTTGGCATTTTTTTATTTCAAATTGTCAGGTAAATTTTTATTTATCCTAATTTAATCATTAATTATATAATTTTTTTTTTTTCGAAACAATCGAAGGTATATTCTCTACAAAAGATAATATCATTTGTACAATCCGAGGGTAAACTGACCAACAAAAGCCTATCCTCGCAAATACAATCCCAGCTAATGCAAATCCAATATCTACAACAAAACAACCCTATTAGAGTTTACAAGCTAGCTAATGGCAATATCCAACCTATTGATCTCAAAGCTAAACTTCAAACTCTTAGCAGCAAAAAGGAGCTCCATAACATTGTTGAAGATCTATTTTATTTGTTTATTCTTTAGAAAAATTCAAGTGACATAATTACATTTTTAAGCCTTGTAGAGTAATTAGAAGAAAAAATTGTAATATGAAGTGTCATTTATTGTATATAGATAGATTTGATTTGTATTTTGATTGCTTTTTTTTAGTAACTCATAGTTAATTTTAAAAAAGTTGTTGAATTAGGTTTGGTAGGATTTTAAGCAAACAACAACAACAACATAGCCTTTTAGTCCCAAGCAAGTTGGGATAGACTAGAGATAAAACCCAAGAGAACCAATGGTAAGAGAAACACAAAAAGGGCTCAAAACAAAAGGAAGAGATTGGAGCAAAAAGATAAAGAAGCAAAAATCATGGTTCTGGCACGTTTGTATTAAAATAACATTTAATAAATAATAATTAAAGTCTATTTGATGTAAAATTGATTGATTAGAAATTATAGGTAGTTAAAATTATGTTTATATGAGTAGATGAATAGTGAATTGAATTGATGTGATGTGTAAGGATGATTGAGTGATATTATTTAATTATATTGATAATATTGAGAATAATGTATTAAATTAAAGTTGAGTTAAATTTAAGTTATGATTTTTTTTTTTTTTGTTTTATTAGCATCCAATCCACATGCTTGGATACAAAATTTTTAAAGTTCGATGTGCTACAAGTTTACAACTTCCAATCCGCTAGTCGTTGTATTTTGGAGGACAATACACACAGACTCGTTAGTATTATATAGGGCGTATTTGTCTTGCAAAAAGAGTTTTACTTGCGTCGATTTTAATCTTTCTGCTTTCAGTTAGCATTATACATGTCATATTTTTCTTGTAGAAAGAGTTTTACTTGCCTCGATTTAAATTTTTCTGCTTTCAGTTTGTGATCTTGTTTTCTTTTCTGCTTTCGGTTAGCATTATACATGGCGTATTTTTCTTGTAGAAAGAATTTTACTTGCCTCGATTTTAATCTTTCTGCTTTCAGTTTGTGATCTTTTTTCTGTTTTTAGTTCAGTTGTAAGAATTGAACCATACACTCCAATTCATATGTTTCTCGTGTAATTCATGACTCACACACATTATTCAATTATTATTTTTGAATAATAAATATAGATTTAATTTAATCAACCTACTATTCTTAAAAAGGGAGAATCATTGGTGTGATTGATGTTATCCCGACTTTCAAGTGAAATAAAATATCCAGTTTATTTTTAAACTTAGGATATTCAATCCAAACAAACCTTCGTTGTTAGGGTACGTACGTGGTTACACCTGAGCCCATTAACGAGAGAGAAAATGAGTATGGTATGAGATAAAATTAGGTTTTACACATTTTATATCACATGGGTTATTTGTTTGATTCGAAATCACTAACCACCGACAACAAGTACATAACTAATCTAATTCACACGTTACAGTTCACCCACAACATATTACATTAGTTTAGTTCCATCGTTCTGCTAAAAATAAATAATTTATATAATAATAATCCAAAATAATAATAATGATTATAATAACTAATTATATTATAACATTAAAATTGAAAATTGTGTTATATTATTCAGTGGGCAAATTGTACTACAAATTACTGTGAAGTGAAGGTGAAATGGTCAATGGAATTGTTCATTAGAGCAGAAGAAATTCAGGTTGATCGATTTTTCATCACTTTCTACAACGCTGTAAATATGAAGTGTTGTTGTCGTTGAAAATTAATGTCAGAAGAAATTAAAGGGATTTACGGCACCGACTGAAACAGCATTTATTTCAATGAGAATTATGACAACACTGCCTGATTTGGTCGCTCAGGAGTCAATACGAAAGTTGGACGGATTGATGAGTGATCAAGTTTAGTATAGTAGCAAATATTGTGTATGTATGAATTTTTTTTTTTTTTTGGTAGGAACACAATTATACAGTGTGACCAAATAAGGAAGGCCCAAGGCGTATTAATTAGTCTTAAAATGAGAAATTCAACTGAGATTGTAATAAAAGCTCTTAACAATTACGAATTATTCAGTTTATAATTTACAATTAATACTAGTCTTATATCACGCGTGTCGTACGGATAAATGTTAAGTTACGTGTTTAGATCATATAAATTTCAACTAAAAATAACCGCTATTAATTTCTTAAAATAAAATTACCGCTATATGCAGGGCGCCGTCTCTAGAAATTTAGAGGCCGTAGACAAGTTTGTCATTTTCAAATTTCTCAATTTGAACTTGCGTGGTAATTAGGCTATTTGCAGATAGAATCATAGAAGAAAAAACATAATTAAAAAAGACTATTAAATAAATATATAAATAATTGAAAAAAAAAATAATTTTTCTTATTTTTCTATACCTTGGAATTGATAAATTATCTATGAGTTACAAAAATCTTTAAGAATTTACATTCAAGCAGTCATTAGAACAACAAGGAGAATAAAATAAAAATTATATCACTGCAAAAAATATTTATTCTCACAAAATTGTTCTAACCGGACATCATAAGAAAACAAATAAAATATTTTGGGCCTCAAATTTCTACACAAAGTATATATTTTGTCATTAACTCATTCATTAATTAACCCATTTATTTGTATAATGGACCAAACTCATCATAAATACATAATATTTAAAAAAAAATGGAGCCCCAAATATATGGGAGGCCCTAAATATATGGGGAGGCCCTAGACATGGGCCTAGGCTGCCTCCCCAATAAGTCGGGCCTAGCTATATATCATGAAAATTAAGGACGAATGTTTGAGTTGTATGGAAATTTCTCAACATCTTTAACATGGATAAAAAAACTAAGATAAATGTCAAAAAAATGTAAATACAATTAAATTTATTTATTCTTTTTTTAAACACCTACAATTTTATATGCTATTTATTGAAAAAATATCTAAAAACATCTATAATATTCTAGCTAATTTTCAATATAAGTTGCAAGATCGCTTTTAAAATTGAAGTATTTACATTTATGATTAAAAAAATTATTTTTTATAAAACCTGGATATTCGATTAATAAACTGTGGATTCAAAACTTTTAAAAAATATATCCTTCATGAAAGTGAAAGGTTTCGACGGGAAATTTATTTTAATAGATGTAATTTTAATGAGTTGGTTGATAAAACTAAATAAAGATGTGATTGTGATGAGTTGAGTCGCATGATCCCGGACAAGTAGCAGCAGACAAGCAAATATAGTGGAGGAGCAAACATTGAAATAAAATATAATTTTACAGTGGTTTAAAATATTAAACAATTTTATAAATAAAAGCTTATATAACTTAGCATAAACCATAACCCAATTTTCTAAATGAAAAAATAAAATTGATTGCATCAATATTTTCCTTTTAAACAATCCGAACACCTCAAAATTTAAAATGAATACACCTTTCAACGTGAGCCAACCGTGATTTATATACTCTAAAATTATATCATTTTTAGTTCCCAAAAGGAAATCCATCGAGTTAATTTCATCCTAAAATAAATTTAATTTACCTAATGTAGAAAGAGGACTACACAAAGTCAAAAAATATAACTAACCAAAATATGTTGTTTACAAACTGAATCATGGATCCTATGTCAATTATTCCATCCAAATGGAAACATGATGTGATACGACTTTTCACCTGAACACAAATTGTAAATTTATACCCCTAAAAAAGGTCCTCCATCAACATAAAGACTAGATAACTTATTCCAAATAAAAAATAAAAAATGTATAGTAGATAACCCAAAAAAAAATAAAAAAAAAAAATACTATGCATATAATTTTGACTTGTTTATATATTTCTAAACAAAGAAACATATTAGTATATTACTATATGTACACACATTAACTGCGCTACTTGGCTAGTTGCTACCAACCAAAACCTAGAATTGTGTTGAAATTGTAAAAAGGCAATATTTAAGATGGAGTGCCAATATGACCTTTCTAATTCTATCTTTCTCTGTGTGCGTACTGTGCACTGTGTAGTCGCATGCACATAACGTAGATGAGAAGGCAAAAGATATTTGGTTTTTAATTTGGCAGAGTTTAATTTGATGGCTGAGAGATGTATAGACTTCCTCGTCCAGTCACATTACTTTCACTGCCATCTGCTTTTTATTCTGCTTTTCCTCAGTTTTCACCCACACTCAATTTTTTATTTTTTATTTTTGGTTTTGTTTTAGTTTGCAACCTCAATCAATCCAATTTTTTACATCACCCAACAAAAGCAACAAATTTTTCTATCAATTTTCCGCCGTTAGATCATGTAACATTATTCAATATCAAAGGATTTCTAATACTCAATTTTTCGTCATTGGTTCAACCTGTAATATTATTCAATATCACATGATTTCTAATATAATAGACAAATTAATTGCTTATTATATGTCAAGAATTCTATATATTGTAGTTATATCGAAAATATCGGGAAAAAATATCAGAAAACACCAATAGGAATATCAATCACGAATATTAATAATATGCATAAAATAAAGAGAATTTAATTATAGATTTAAAAAAATAAAACTTGAATTTATATTCTTATTTTTATTTTATTGAGAAGTTGAGATTTAGTAAATGTACTTATTTATTTATTATATAGATTTTTTGCATTTGATATTAAAAAATTATGCTATTGTTGTATTTAAGCATGCCATTTCCCGGTTCCGGGCCGTAGTGTATTTGTTATTATTTTGTTAATGTCAATTATTGTCGATTGGACCAATAGTACAACTTACTAATAGTGCAATATGAAAAGCATTTTATTATTTCAATTTCCCACATATTTTATGGGGTCCCGTTTTTGTTTTCTCTTCTATATATAAGCCTGCAAGTAACGTCCATCCATCAAAAACAAAACAAAGTTCCCATCACTTCACACAGTATATATGTTCCAAAATTTATTAAGTCCATTCATGCTTGTCTTTTCTTTCTCTTCTTCTTCACCACTGTCACTCAAACTTTCTTCATTTAATATGGGGCCGTTTGTTACAAAGTCATCTTTTGTTCCACTGGAGAAGTTATGGGAAAACAAATTGCTGATAGGATTTCGGAGGTTGTCGAAGATGAATCGAGGAAGGGAGATTTGCTGATGTTGGCGCTATCCAAACTGAGCTTTAGTTTTTTTTTTTATTATTTCTTTTTCTTGACCTTGCAAGATCTTTTCTTTTATATACTTCATTGTTTTTTAAATGATGTAGTATTATTTGTTTAGTTTGTTACTTTTATCTCGTTCAAACCTCCCATCTTTTTTATTTTTATCTATTCCTCCTGAGCTTAGCGTTTATAAGTTTGATGGTGTATGATATTGTTCTCTATGAAGACAGTAGATCTTTTTCCCTTTATCATTTTTCTTTTATCTCCAATGTATCATATTCAAGAATATTCTTGAGTCTGTTATTTGATGTTCTAAAATTTATTACTTTGTTTGGTTTCAGAAGATTAGTACTATTGTTTGGTTGACTACTGTAATAATTATTCAAATCACCCTTGGAATGACAGTGTGGTAGATGGCTAATTAATCAAATTAACCATCAATGGTTTACTTCAGAATTGTAACTTTGTGAGTGAGGGAGAGATTATGGTTGCTCAAACATCAATTAAAGAAAATGCATGCACTTTTTACCAAGGGCAAATTTCTTTGGAAAAAGTAAACAAAAAATGAGTGGCAACCATATTAATTATAATCTAAACATTTGGAGTAAGAGCTCTCTGCTTATACTAATTAAAATCCGATTGATACTTCATGTCAATGTTGCTAATTAATTATCTGTTCATCATTAAAGTCTCAAGAATCAATGTCCCAAAGGTGGCATTCAAGACCGCAGAACAACATAAACTCTTGCTGTTAAATAAAAGACTTATCGTGCAAACATAAAGAAGCTCAATAATCATGTATTTTCTTGATTTAAATCTTCCAACTTGTGAATATTGCTAGTCCCCACGTAGAGTAGTTCATTGAAATGTGTTGCTTATGAATTCAGCTTGATACGTTAAACCTGAAGTTTGACTCAGAATCATTTGTTGAATCAGCCAGCTTGAGTTCGTTGAAAGCTCGTTTAGTAACAAGTCAGTCTCGACTCAGACTGGTTAAGGCTCATAAATAAGAATTATTATATTATAGTTCAGCTCTATAAGACTCGAACTCGGTTCATTAATATTGATAAAAAAATCAAACTCAAACTCAATTATTGTCTCATTTAATTAACGAGCCGAGTTTGGTCAGTTAAAGGCTCGAGCTTACTTTCACCTATCCACATCTGCACTAGGCGAGTGCTCTAACATGATTTGAGTCCAATCCAAACTTCAACAATAATAACGTTAAGTGCAATTTTATATAAAGATTTACAAGAGACAAATTACAAAGAAAATTACATTATGATATATTTTTTACCCTTAGAATATTGTTCGAAATGATTAGTTATAAAACGTTGAAAGTTATAATAGTACCTAACTGTATAATTTTTAATTTAAGACAACATAGAGAAATTATTCACACGTCACAATGGCCTTGTTTGGTAATTATATGTTAGCGGTTAGCGGATTGTGATAGTTGTTTTGACCAGCGGATCGTGTTAGTTATTTTTACCAATGATTAGTATTGACGGTTCTGAAAAATGTTGTTTGGTATAATTAGCATAGTGATTTTGAAAAAAATAGGTGACATTGATAAAATAATTTGTACAAATAGTTATAAAGTAATATACATTAGTTATATTTATAACTTAAGGGTCAATATTAACTTGGACGTAAATGGAATAGTCAATTATTTATAATTAATAAATTACTTATTTACTTCAATTTTTTGATTTGGATAGCTTAACGAAAAATAAATTCATGTTAGTTAATCAAACAATATAAGTTTTATAATTGTACTTATTATTCACATAGATTTTTAAATATAGGATAAAAGTTTACCAAAATTATTTTGTGGAATCACATTGTAATCAAATCGAATTTTTGTATAAAACTTTTAAAATCACACTTTTTTCAAATGAATATAATGGAATTTATTATAAGTTATGTGCACCGTACGAGTTGCGTACTAATTTTAAATATACAAAGTTTATGTAACTTTACACAATTTAAATTTCATATAACATTTATAATAAGTTAATATAGATAAATTATATTACATATTATTCCATATTTATAATTTATAAATATAATTTAATGAGCATATTAATTTATAAATATTAGTGCGTATCTCTATTCGTGCATCGCACGGGATTCGTACTAGTATTTATTAAGAAGCTAGTGGAAAGAGCCAGTGGAAAACGCTCTTCTACTCACGAGAATAGTCAAAAAGACTCAAAACTACTAAAAACAGTGATTGGGCCTAGAACCATGAAAAACAACAAGCCCAATGCCAATTCTATAGTATAAATCCAAGAAGTTAGTAAGCCAATTCTTCATAATTGGCCAGAGAATAGTCAATGCAGCCCACAATATTCTGGGCCCATAACATACCTTCCGAATTTTGTTGTGTATATATGCCGACCCATTCGCGCAGCTAGGGTTAGCTTATACGAGGAGGTTGATCATCAGCCGAAAAGACTCTGGAAAGAAGCTGCCATGGGGAGAAGTAAGCCTTTCTTTCTTAGCTTTTTTATCATGTATGATCAATATCTGTTTGATGATTATATGATTGAGGACGTAGCAAAAGTTTAATCAGGATCGTATTATTTGATTTTGAATTTTTGTTCACATCGTTTTGAGTTAATTCATTTCAGAATTTGTGCTATGTTATTTTTATTGGTTAGCCAGATTCGTGAGCTTCTTTTCATTTAGTCAGATATATGATATTTTGTTCATGAGCTAATCTGTAAGCTTTTGTTGTCGTTGAATTGATATTAGTGTAGAAAGAAAATATGTTATAGATTATTGGTTATCACCGTTGAGTCTGTCAAATTCAAGAGCTAGAAAGATTGTTGTAAATGTTTGGGGCTCGATGTGAAAATCTTTTACCCGAGAATTCTGTATATATTACATTTGGAAAATGGATGAGATGATACGGGGTTGGGTCATAACATTGAATAGTAGCATCTGTTCTATCAATCGAGACAAAATCTGCTTCTTTGCTGGCTTGTTTGTGCGTGTATTTCTAAGTATTGCTATTCATTAATGCTGATGAAACCATGAAATTGATTTTCAAAGTTTCTGTAGCCTTTTCGTTTCCTTCTTTCTAAATATCTTGATTTTTAATGTGTTAATTCAATTTATGTTAATATGGTCTACTACTATTTATTCCCCAGGACCTGCTAGGTGCTACCGTCAAATCAAGAACAAACCTTACCCGAAATCACGGTATTGCCGTGGTGTGCCTGATCCAAAGATCCGGATTTATGATGTGGGCATGAAGAAGAAGGGGGTCGATGAGTTCCCCTTCTGTGTTCACTTAGTCAGTTGGGAGAAGGAAAATGTCTCGAGCGAGGCTTTGGAAGCTTCCCGTATAGCTTGCAACAAGTACATGACCAAGTTTTCCGGAAAGGACACGTTCCACCTGAGGGTACGCGTTCACCCTTTTCATGTTTTGCGCATCAACAAGATGCTCTCGTGTGCTGGAGCTGATAGGCTCCAGACTGGCATGAGGGGCGCTTTTGGAAAGCCACAGGGGACTTGTGCTCGTGTGGCCATTGGTCAGGTCCTCTTGTCTGTTCGCTGCAAGGATGGGAATAGCCACCATGCTCAGGAGGCCTTGCGCCGTGCAAAATTCAAGTTTCCTGGTCGCCAGAAGATCATCGTTAGCAGGAAATGGTATTGGTTCTTTCAGCTCTATTGTTTGTTTATCGAATAACTAAAAGTGTATTGTGTTTGTTCAATACGCTTGTTTCACTTTTATGTGGCCTGTTTTTTCTGATGGTATTCGTTCTTTAATCGGCACGTTGGTGATTCGGCATTTGAATTGTTTTTTTCGTGATTTTTTTCTTTTTTTTCATCATTTGGTGTGGGGTAATTTGAATTAATTTGGTGCGTTGGTCAGTTGCCATTTGATTGGATAATATTTTACTTGATGCTTTTGTGTCAGAAATAAGAGAAGTGTATGAAATTTGAGTTTGAGTTTCTGTACTGATTCTTGTTGCTGATGTTTTATGAAATTTGAGTTTGAGTTTCTGTACTGATTCTTGTTGCTGATGTTTTTGGGTTGTTATTTTTTTCAGGGGTTTCACCAAATACAACCGCACTGATTATCTGAAATGGAAATCTGAAAATAGGATTGTTTCTGATGGTGTGAATGCTAAGGTTTGTCTTCTCAGCAAAATTCTTTTTTCCCACTTGATTTTGGTAGTCCATTTTGTTTAAACGAGTCAAAGAGTTTTTACCCATTGCCATCTGCAGTCCTAAGCATATTTCTTTTTAATATTCCTCTATACTTAAGTATAAACTCAATGACATTACATTTTTTTTATGCTCCAGCTTCTTGGATGTCATGGGCCTTTGGCCGATAGGAAACCCGGAAGAGCGTTCATTTCAGGGCCTGTGCAAGGATGAACTTAATGTTGTCTCCAGGAGTTCAAATGTTACTCTGTTTTGGATTTATCAGGATCTTGTTTGTTTTATTTGAACTAGTACTTACATTTCATGGAGAATATGGCACTTTGAAGTGTAGTGGTTTTAATTTGTTTCTACTCGTTCAGACTTTGTTTGAGAATATTTCATTTTGATATGCACTGGTTTTTATTTGTTCGACTTAAATTTATGGCCATAATCAGTTCATTTGCCGACATTACTTTATAGCTGTAGAGGATTGACTTCTCCCAAGTTTTGGTTGCTTATGCCGTTTAGGTTAACCAAGTACTCTGGGCTGTGGCTGTGTGTAGGCAAGATAAATTGCGTGTTGTGCCTTTTGGTTTAAATAGGTTTTTGGCAATTTGAAATGTGAATCTTTGCACTGATCTCTTAACTCATTGTGTATTGTATGAAAATAAAAAGAAAAAGCTGATATATTAATTCGTTTAAACGGTGAATTTTTAACACCAATGTATGTCATGTTTATTGATTGCAGATTCGGTTGATAGATGTATTAACTCGCCTCCTCTGGGAGTAGGTAAACTATTAAGGATGGTGTATGCAACTGGACATAATATTTTCCTCATTATATTTCGTGTTTTTTTGGTTTTGCCCATCAAATTATTTTCTATTTTATATATTGCCCACTGGTAGGTGCATTACGAGCAACTTTTTGATGAAATTATTCCAATCAACATTTACTGTTGGATGATCCAAAAATAGTTATTTCATCTAGGATGATAAATTATTTCAATTAACATTTACTCTTAAATAATTTTATTTAAGATGTTTCTACTGTCAAACTTGCTAGAAATACACTGAAATACATTATTTATATTTTTTTGGAATACACTAAAATACCTTATTTATATATTTTCGATATAATATTATTCTCTTTTTTGTATAATTTTAGTATGAGGGTGGGGGGTGGAACACAGATGAAAAAGATTTGGACTCGGAACAAGATGCGTCGAAGGGATAAACTGTAGGCAATATATAAAAGTTTTGTGTCACATAGAAACATGACTTTCCTTAAATCCGCTGTAGGTGCATTACGAGCAATTTGTTTTCTTAGGAAAAGTTCTGTGGGCATGTGGAGGGATCCATTGTAGGCATTTAAGTGACCTGATCCCTATTTTTTTATTATTTTCTTTTTTTTTAAATAAAAATAAAAATATTTTTTATTTTGAACAACTATATATACATATGAATATTTATTATATTATATGATACAATATTAGTAACACTTTGATATACGAATTTATATATAAAATATTTCTTTCTATTAATCTTATATGATACAAAAATATACTACATATATAATTTTAAAATTTAAAATTATTTATCAGGTACAACAATTGACCAGATGACTCGGCAGTTGAAAGTCACATAAGATTTGCTCGGGTCGATTCCTGGCCGAGTTTAAAAACTGTGTGCCACATCAGCCTCTAATGTTACGCGAGTGTAATTAAATTTAAATTTATTTACTTCAAATAAATTCAGTTTGGTTTGATTATTGTATTTTCTTCACAATCGTGTGAACAATAATTAGTCAAAAATGCGGAACAATGAAAATACGAGGACAGCTCATGAGTTTTTTTTTTTTTCATGATAATATATCAGCTTACATAGTCAAGAGTTGTTAGTGGCTGGTTAATGATGAATGAAGAATATATATAAAATCACGATCTAAAACATAAATAACGAATTGTGTGGACAGTTTGACTGCTTTAGCAACCTCATGAAAAACAGATTAGCTTATTATATTGTAGCCCACAAATATCATTTGCATATATGTGAATGCGACGATCATTGCAAGTGGATTTTACAACTCACACTCACTACGCAGTAGTTAGCGTCACCCACGACTAAAGAAAAAACGTTACATTAATTTATGTTGCATGTTTCATTTTATTTTTTCCAGAAGTAAAATTTTTAGTTAGTTCACTGGAAAATAAAATAGAGCATTAATCACACATAAATACTCATTTTCTATTTTTCTACATTGATATAATGGTTCACACACATCATTTTGTATGTCTATGTATTATATGGTGCTAGCAATGTGGATGCGAATTTTCAAATCAGTCATAATTTATAAGCAAAACGCAACCATGCACTATTGGCTGGATATAATATTTTTATTTATGTTATTTTCAGATTATGACATTTTCATTTAAAAGCGTACATATATGTTGAAAATGTAAAATTGTTTAAATAAAAGTTCTGCGTAACACAAACGCGCCTTACGAGTGTCTACTCTGGGATAGATATGGAAAAAAACAGTTCCAAAGTAGTAACTTGCATGCCTCTATATGATTGGAAAATTATTCGATTTTCAAATTGTGAACTGAAATATTAAATGTGTTCTATGGAGAATACAATTCACAACTTTCATGTTTGATATATAAAGTATATATTATAGCCATTTTTATTTTTATTTGTTCTCACAATTTTACCAAGAGAAATGAACATCTATGTAGCTCGTGCCCATAAAATATTTTTAACCATTGATTCTATTACTAAACCATCTTGTTGACATATTAATAAAAATTATTTAAATTCCATACCACGTACGATGACACAAAACAAGGCCAAATATCTGGAAATTTCACCACTTGGAGAAAAAAAATTAAAGAAAAAAGATATTGNTCTTGAAGATGTGAACATATTAATGAATTGAAGTATACAAGAAAATATAAAGTAATAATAATAAATTGCAAAAATAATTATAATAAAAAATCCTGGAAAGGTCAACGGGTTATAATCACGAACGATTAAACCCAGGCAAATTGTAAAATGGGCACTATTTTTGGAGCATGTATTGGAGTGCTCTTGGGCCTTGTCGTTTTTTAACCTTAATGTAGCTTTCATGTTTGCATTCTTTTACTTTGTTGCAAATATTGATGATGACATTTATCTGCAGGAAATGGGACATGGTTTTGTTACTTTTTTCCCTCCTCGTGACTACTGATTTTTATTTATATGTCTTGTGGTGTTTTGATTGATTGGTTCTATAATCATCAAATCATTATATCATAATGTGTGATGAGGTGATTATGATAATTGACATAGATCAAAGAATACATTTTGTACATATTATTTTTAAAAGATTGAATATAAACGTGTGATAAGGTGATCGTGACATTAACATAGACAAGAATGCGATTTTATCTCTTTCTATTTGTAATATTGAATATATTAATTTTAGTAAAATACTTGATGCACTTGCATATATATAAGCTAGAGGGGGTGTTAGACAGATTTTGCCGTTAAAATAATTTGTTGAGTTATGTGCAGATTTATTAGCTGTTAAATAATTTGTTGAGTTATGTGCAGATTTATTAGCTGTTAGTTATGTATCTCACAAATCAACATTTTTTGCGATTCAGTCGATTGTAGATGTAAATAAATCAAATTCTGAATTACTATCGAGCTGGTAAACCAGACTTATTACTGATTAGCTGAGTTCACTATCGAGCTGGTAAACTATACTTATTACTGATAGTGAACTCAAAGTTCTGTTTAAGCTTTCATAGCATCAAATATTTATTTTCATTTAATAAAATAATAAATCAATTCAATTATTAGACAATCTAACTACATTATTTGTGATCTATATTGATGTTAGAAGGTGATATAATTGAATTGGGATTGAATCATTTTAATATTAAAGGATTGAAACCAGGATAGAGACTTCTAATTAACTTCGACCAATACGCCCCCACACGAGCTATATTTCCTTGTCCTAAATCTTCCAAATTGCAATATATATCTCTTAGTTTCGGCGTTTACTGTTTAATTTTATTCTTAAATTTTTGGTTATCTGCATTTGGATCTTCAAAGAATCAAATTCACCTGAAAAGTGAGCTTTTGTGGATGGAAAATAGAAACACTAAAGGACAAAAGCATGACATCCAAACAGGTCGTGCACCTTTCAGACTTTCACTAACTTCAACTAAATTACAAAAAGTCAAGAACGTGAAATCTTTCGAGGTGTCCTCGTTTTTCTTTTCTTTAAAATTTTCCTTCCTTTTTATAGTAATTAACAGCTAATTTCTAAAAAGTTACTGTTAATTGAGTATAGTTTAATGAGGAAAGAATTAATTTCGTGCACCACACCATTGACTTTCGGAGTTTCAATGGCAACCTATTTTTGTGACGACAATATATTAAATTCATGAATACAATATAATGTGACAAAATTGGAAATGCTATCGATTAATACGTGTTATAAATGATAAATTTGTATTATCACAAAAAGTTATGGGTCATACTCATAAAGCACAATCCTTAGAGCATGCTAAGGTGTGTAATGATAAGAGTCCCCAAAGTTTTGTTTGGTGGTGAACATTGGAAATGATGTGCTTGCAAAATGGACAACTAAAACCCGAGATATGTAGGATATGTTTCATCAGTTCAATTCTCTTGTGCAATAATATTAGTAAAAGAATAAAAACTGCTAGAAAATTATCAAATTGCAACAATAAATTTCAACAATTATATATTTTAACAAAATTCCAACAATAATTATAATGAATATTTCAATACTATACCTTATGTTGGAGAATGCCACCAGAAGTTTTAATGGGAATATTGTGTTTGAATTGATTTTCCATCTAAATTTATGTTAGATTCTAACTATTTCAACGGGATTATTCTAATTGCTGAAATTATTGAGAGACAAAAAATCCAATAAAAATTTCTACAATAATAAGCCGATGAAAAAGTACTTTTTGAAATTCTCAAATTCCAACTGAAACTTCAACGCACATTTGATCACAATGAAATGTATTGGTATTTGCAAAATTGGATTATTCATTGAAATTTTCCCACGGAATTGATGACACTGAAAGGCCCGTTAGATTTTTTTTTGTTTATTTTGTCATTGAAATGTTATGAATTTCATTGAAGTCCAAGTAAAATTATTATTTATTAGGAAAGATAGAAAGAAAGGGAGGTCCATAAGTTTCATTTTATTTTCTTAGTAGTCTATTGAAGTAATTAAGAGCATGTCAAACATAATGTGGATGAGAGTAACAAATCAAATAATGAAAGAGAAAACCCAAATTAATGGCAATAAATTGATTGTGGTGGTTATACCATCAATTTTAATAACTGTTGATTTTAAAATCGTGTCGTGCATGAACTTGATTATGGACCATCTCATGTTGCTTTTAGGACATGGCTATTCCTAATCTTAGGAAATTATTGGGCAACAAGAATTATGACAAATATAAACAAAAGAAATAGATATAAATCATTAGAAGGACCATAATAATTCAATTAAAGAAAGGTTAAAAATTTACTAGTGTACAATGAATATTATAAAATAAATGTACATATGGTCATGAATGTGCATTTATGAACCGTATTCAGTGAATAGTGTGTAAACTGGGCAAGGTTATTTTAGCTTTCAGCAATCTACAGGTTTGGAAGGTGAGCTCCATTTATTTTATTATTTATTTATGCTTTCTCATTTACTATGAAGCCCCATGCATGCTTTCATTTTTCAGCACCTAAAAAATTTATCTTCAACAAGTGGAAAAATGTTGAGAACTAAATGAATAAAAAATGTGTTTGTTTTGTTCAAAAATATCACAATGCTCATTTTTTTTATTTAAAAATATAAATATCTATTACTATATAATACGGAGAAGAAAAATTATTTGAACAATCCGAAAAAAATTATTTCGTTTTCCCGCTTCAATATAGTGTTTTTCCCGCTTTTTCAATTCGTAAAATTTTTTTTTGAATTTTTTCAGCCCATGCAATTAGGTAACCAATCAAATCGAATCTTTTAGCATTCAATTTGGTAAGGTGTTCCGATTTTAGCATTCAAATCCGATTTCACTTCCTTTTTTTATGTCAATCAATCCGATTTTTTTGGTTGTTTCAAAATTTGTTTAGATTTATATTTTTATTTTATTAATATATTTGAAAGAGAATCAATAAATGTTTGTCATAACTTTTATTTTAAAAATAAATTTGTAAGCATACCTTTTACTTTATATGAAATTCAAAATTACATATTTTAATATATTAATAAACGTCTATTATTTATTTTTTTTCTTATGTGATATAACAGAATTTCGGTATTAAATTTGTAAATTCAAACATTTAAAGGAAAAGATTCCAAACAATTTTTTTGGGTAAATTTCATTTTATCTTAGTTTTCATTATCACATTTCTAACAAACTAATTAGTATTATATTTTTCTATCTACATAATCTAACCGATTTTTTATGATACAATTAATATAATATCTTAACAAATTATTTATGCTTTCTCATTTACTATGAAGCCCCATGCATGCTTTCATTTTTCAGCACCTAAAAATATTTATCTTCAACAAGTGGAAAAATGTTGAGAACTAAATGAATAAAAAATGTGTTTGTTTTGTTCAAAAATATCACAATGCTCATTTTTTTTTATTTAAAAATATAAATATTAGGACAAACTATGCAGTTGAAGGTGACAGGTAAGAGAAGTTCCCTCTCTTTCCCGCTTTCTATGGCTGACTTTTCTTTAGACGGCACGCACAATTTTGATGCCATAAAGCAAAGGGAATATTGTAAAAATTTTTATCTACTTTTTATAAATGAAACAGAAAAAAGTAACACAATATACTTTTAAAAAAGTAAAATATATTTGATATTGTGAATAAATATAACTTAATAATATTTATATTAAATATATAATAATAATAATTTTTTTTCAATTTTTAATTGGGTTGGTGTAATTTATGGAGGAAAAAAAGGATAAATAAATATTTTTTATGTAAAAATATGTTAATATTATTTGTGTTTAAATTATATATATGATGACTAAGCAAATAGAAATAAAAAAAAATCTAATCACTGGATTTGCTCATATATCCTCTGTTCCCACATTAATATATGTGACAGGCACTTGTTAAGATTTTTTTTNTAAATATGATATACTAATCTTAAGCCACACATAGATTTTGGATATATTCATTCATGTCAAAGTAAAAATATAAATAACAAAAATTGTTTCACTTCAAGTTTGTGGGCCCCACCACAGTAACTCCCCACATTGACCCCATATTTTTTCTTTTCCCATTTTTCAACTTAAAATAAAAAATCAAAAAAGTTCCACCTAAGCTTTGACTTTCAGTATGAGGTGTAATTTTGTCTTTTACACAGAAGGGTCTACCGTTGAACTGAGTACTAGAAAGTAGAAAAAGGGAATGGAATGGAAACTTATTGGAATTAGAATGTGAGCAGATGAGATTACAGTTCACTAATCCCATGTGACACCCTGAGATTAATTATTAATGAAAGTATTAAACAATAACATTACACATTTTCCCAAAATAATTATAGCAATAATTACCTCCATTAATCCCTTTTTTATTTAATTTAGGAGACTCGAGTTTGTGCATTGGTGCTAATGAAAATTGTGTTTCATCCAAGTCAACTCCAAGGACTGCATTTCATGGGAATCATATAGTAACAAAATTGGGCAATTTGATAATCTCTCCAATTTATTTATTCATTGGTTTTTTTTTTTTTAAAAAAAAGAAGAAGCTAATTTAATAGGCTGTCATTAGATATGAGTGCCATCTTTTGGGGCTAATGACATTATTTTTCTTCAGATCCAATAATAATGGGTCTCTGCTGGTGCAATATTTATTGCACCCATATTCAAAATNACTTCCAAATTTCAAAACAAAAACATTAAAAAAAATGGAGACGAGCGGAGCAGATTCTCATTCCCTCCCTCCGCCGTACCTCCCCTTTCTCCCGCCGCCGTCGTCGTCCCCGCGCGGCTTTGACCTGAACAACCGCGTGAGCCCCAGTATGCTCCTCATCATAATCATCCTGGCCGTCATCTTCTTCATCTCCGGCGTCCTCCACCTCCTCGTCCGTTTCCTCCTCCGCCCCCCTCCCCCCCTCCGCCGCGACCGGAGCTCCTCCGACCCCGTGACCGCCCTGGAGGGCCAGCTCCAGCAGCTCTTCCACCTCCACGACGGCGGCGTTGACCAGTCTTTCATCGACTCCCTCCCCATCTTCCCCTACAACTCCATCATCGGCGTCAAGGACCCTTTCGACTGCGCCGTCTGCCTCTCCGAATTCGACCCCGACCACCACCTCCGCCTCCTCCCCAAATGCAGCCACGCCTTCCACGTCACCTGCATCGACACGTGGCTCCTCTCCCACTCCACCTGTCCCCTCTGCCGCTCCTCTCTCCTCCCCGACTTCCCCTCCGCCGCCGCCGCCGCCTCCGCCCGCTCCCCTGTCCTCCTCCTCCTCGAATCCCGCGCCCACAGCTCCCGCGATTTCCTCCCCTCCGACCACCACAATCAAGCAAGCTCCTCCCAATCCACCGACCAAAAATCGGGCGAGATTCAAATTCAATCCAAGGACAACGACGAGAATCGGAAATTTCCCGCCGGAAAAGTCTTGCCGGTCAAGCTCGGCAAGTTTCGAAACATTATCGGCGAAGGGAGCAACGGCCACGATAACGATGCGGGGCCGAGACGATGCTTCTCGATGGGCTCGTTCGCGTACGTAATGGACGAGAGCTCGTCGCTACGCGTACCCATAAGGACTACGCCGTGGAAAAAGACGCCAATGCCCCTAACTCCGGGCCACCGGCCGGCGATCTCGGAATTTGATGGCGGCGGCGGAGGATTCGGCTCGTCATGGAGGGAGTTCGTAAAGGGAGGAGTCGAGAGCGGAGAGAAGATGAATAGTTTTGAATTTGGCGGTGAGGGGTATAATAGTAAATTGTCATCATCGGTGGCTAATAAGAAGGAGAGCTTCTCGGTTTCGAAGATTTGGATGAGGTCGTCCGGGAGGAGGGAGGAGTTATCGTCGAGACGGGCGTTTTCGTTTCGGTTTCCGGTTAACAACAATCGGTGGGGGAGCGAAGATGGGGAGAGTTTGGATTCGGAGGCGAACGTGAGGTCGTCGTTTGCAAGGAGGACGTTGTTGTGGATTATGGGGCGGCCGAGCAAGGTGGTTCATCACTCGTCCGACCCTTCTTCGACTGATGTCGTTATTGTTTAGGGTTTGGAATGAGATTTCCTGCTCCACTTTCATTTCGTGTTCCATTCTGTTGGATGAATGACACGTGTAAATGATGATGCTATGTTTGTACACGTGTCAATCATCTAATGAAATGGAACACGAAATGGAACATGAGAGTGGAGGAGGAAATGTAAACCCAGCTTTTGTTGTTTGGATAATGTTTTAGTTTAGTGATTAGGGAGCAAAATAGGGAGATTAGAAAGTTTGGATAGAGGGAAGACCAAGATAATGTGTATGTATGAAAAAAGGAAATCATTTTGAAGGAGATTTTACCAAAAAAAGAACGGTGTTTGTGAATAAGGTTTTATATATATGCTTCTTTTTAAGTTTCTTCAAATATCAACTTTGAGCAAATCTAAGTTGCTTCCTGATTTTTTTTGTTTCTCCCGAATGGTGTTCTGTTTTGGTTATATAGTCTTGAATTTTGAAATCTGCAGTTTTGCAACCAGTGAGTCTAGGTAGCTAATAACCCAAATTATCTTTGAGCTACCAAATTTGTCATATTTCCAAAATATTGTTGCTTCAAAAATAAATGGGTTGTGAAGATTAGGTGTATATTATCTTGTACTAGGTTGGCATAACATTAGGCCACACATTTTTTTATTTTAATAAATGTGTGCATATTTTCGTTAGAAAATGTCAATAGAAGTATCACATTTAATGGTATTTAGTATGCATTTTTGTTTAAATATTATAATTGGTCCGTCCGTCTAATGATTAAAGTTGCTCACAAAAAAAATTGTTCTGTGAAAGAATGCGGTATTTTTGTTCCTAGTAAAATTAGAAAAATTCATATATTATTTAATTTCTTGGCCTTTCCCATAGTATTATTTAATGATACAGCTGCCATGCTTGCGATGCTTCATATCAACATTTAAAGTTGCATTACTGAATTTACTGTCCTGTCCTACTGTTAGTTTGAGCATTTATTTCGACCTTCATCTCATAAAATAATTTGAAAATTCCAATATAAAAAAAGAAAATAATGGTATTTTACCTTTTTTTGTCACAGACAAACATGAATATCCAATTTCTAGTGCATTATAACTCATCATCGTACAAAGAGAAATTAATTTAACAAATATTAATTGCGAGTAAACTTGGTAGGTGATATGTAATTAGCTTTCTGGTTCAAGTGGGAAAAATTCAGAATTAGCTTCTTCAATTGGACGAAATTTCCAGTTGTGTGGTGATGAACATGAAACCACACCAGCGACCATAATGGATGCGCATAAAGATGTTTATAATTATGTGCCTATTTCTTTGGCACAATTTTTTTTACACATAAAAGGCCAATCATCAATTATTAGAGCTAATTATGTCAAAAAATTTAAAACAATGTTCACATTATATTTGTAAAGTAGTCTTTCTTATGTACGTGATTCACTCTTCAGCTTAAAAAAATCTGTAGAGCAGAGAGAATTCCTTCGATGCTTAAGAGCTTCTTCTCCAGAGTAGTGAAAAAACTCGCTCCAATGTTGCGCTACATTTTCGCACTACTTTAAAAATATGAACAATATTGCGCTACATGTAGCGCGGTACTATTCACCACGCCACATTTTTTTTCTTCAAATTTTAGTTTTTTAATTGATTTTTATTTCTAAATAATATTTTGATAAAATATTTATTTTGTTATATAATTTAAGATTGGAATTTTATAGTTGTATTTAAATTTTATTTTGTACTAATTTATTTCATGTAGAGTAAAATGTAACGAGAAGTCTAATGCTGCAAACGAACTGAACCGGACCGAGCTTGGGGTGTTCGAGCTCGTGTTCGTTTACGTTCGAACAGTGTTCATGTTAGTTCGTTTATTTCTCGAGTTAAAATTAGTGTTCGAGCTCGTTCGTTTAATTGTTCGTCAAAGTTCGAGTTCGTTCGTGTTCGAATAATTTAATACATAAACTTTTTAAATATGTTTGATTAACTCGAATTTGTTTGTTCGAACTCGAAAATAAAAAAATAAAATAAAAATATTTTTAGATTTTAGATTTTTTATTAAAGGTACTATGTAATTATATAAAAAAATATATGGTCATGAACATTATCGAACGTTTCTGAATGAGCTTGTGTTCGTTCGATTATTAAACGAGACTAATTTTCTGTTCGAACTCGGCTCAATTAACAAACGAACGAGTATTTGTCGAACATGAACGAGCTCGAACGAGCTTTTGTTCGCGAACGTTCGATTCGTTTACAGCTCTAGCGCGAACGACTGGAAATGAAAGTTACTCTAGAATAGAGTAAACTCTATACTAGAGTAGTAAAGGAATAGAGATGGTCTAAGCCAATTTACATATGTCAAAAGCAACTCTATGTGTTCGTGTGCGAGAATAATAATATTTTGATTTAGTGTTTGCATACTTTTTTACTTTATTTATATAGATCAATTACTTTTTATCCAAGTTTTATGAACTCCTTGAGATCTCACTAAATTCGAGAAGATATTTAAAAATTATCCAAAATATGTTTATTCTTCTTTAAGAATCTCCATTCGTAATTCAACACCCCTCGTAAGTTGATTACTACAACCTAAAGCACATTACATCATCTCTCAGCTCGAGTATGATCAGATCATCCAAAGTTCATGACCCAAATCTAAACGCTCAACTAAACAACCTCAAACCGAACTAAGGCCATAACGGCTTTCGTTAATCATATTCCTAGTCGAGCTGATCCAACTGGCTATATTGATCGATATGAATTAGCATCCTAATTTTGTTCTGAAGCATTGATGCTACAGTAGTTCAAAACTCGGTGTATCATTTATTTATTGATTTATCTTAGTTTTCCTTTGCATTCGCTCCTATCGGCCATTAATCATCATGTGGACTGTTGGATAACAAATGACACATCAAAATTTCCGATCATTCCATGTGCGTAGTAACTATTTCTGTATTCATATTTAGATTTTTATATGTACATGTCAAATATACCCAACTCCTGGACTAAGCTCAAAATATGCAGGATTGTTACGAATGGGCCAAAGTGGTCCAATATCTCAAAGATAGCCCAACCACAGAAGCCCAAGAAGTTATCAAATGACAAATTATTGTTTGTAATTATAAAATGGGTGAATTTGGAGGTTTCTTTAATGAGGTGGTCACATGCAGTAGCAATTAATGTAAGGGAAACAAACAATCATGGTCATAATAATAATAAGTTGCCGTGTAGATACAGGTAATTTTATTGAGCGTCTGAAAACGGTCGTTTGTGTGTTGCCACGGGAAAACAGTTAAGAGACGCTGTCCGTTGTTATTTAATTACTATTTTTTTTGGTACAAGTTAGTATTTAATTACTACTCCATTAGTCTATTATTATTATGACCAATCAGTCATAGGCGTTGACCCCACGGCACATGAGCTGACTCATTCATGATTTAGGACTCGTTTCAAACATTTTTGCTATGAACAAATCTATTTGGGTAGAGGATTTTTGAGTTGTTCACAATTGATTAAAAATGTATTATAAAATAAATATATTTAGATTTTTATGAATGAGTTGACTTCATAAAGGAGTCATCCGTCATCCGTCCGCGGACTTCATCAAATTTCTATTTTTCTAGCAACATTTTTTTTTTTTTTCTGTTTCTATTTTATTTTATAGAATAAATAAAATGTATCTGTAATAATATCACAATTATGCATGTATAAATAATGTGGATTAAATGATGAGTTTGGACATGAGATTTTTTGTCATAAGAAAGTTCGAATAGATAGAAATTACGCGTCGTGTAGACAAGTTAGATAGTTTCTAGACAGTTAAAGTGGTTGCAACTTACAAGTTAGTTACGTGTAGGTTGGTCATACAAATTAAGCGGTCTAGATGACTCCAAGGTACACGTATATGATGAAAAGATTTTAATTTTTATACATTGAATGTATAATAATAATAATAAAATTACTACAATAATTTCAAATATAGGGTATTTTAAAGAAAATTATATTTAATAGTATTGATTAGTATATTGTATACAATAGAAATTTTATAGGTTAAATATAAATTAATTTAGTAATATTTCGACTACCCATCTAACCCACTTGAGTTTCATCTAGCTGTCCTGGACGCTAGACCTTGATGTGGCCAAAATTCGGTTTCGGGTCGGAACCGCCGGTTCCAGGTCAGGGTTTGGAGAAACTCGAACTGCCCTGAACATATGCACGGGCCGGTTCAACCTGTTTCAGCTCGGACCGATTTTTAAAATTAAGTTGAAGATTTTTTTGGGTTAACAAATGATATTTTTACTTGTAATATGCCAGTTAAGCTGTCTACGTATCCCTTACATTCAGGGTCGGCTCTAGGGGGAAGCACCATAGGCCCATGCCTAGGACCTCCAATTATTAGGGGCCTCAATTTTTTTTGTCTTTTATTGTTTTATGTATTTGTGTTTGGTTTTGTTTATTTACACGAATAAAGGGGTTAATGGCTAAATATGAATTTGGCCCATTACACAAATGAAGAGGCTAATTAATGAAGGGGCTAATAGTAAAATATGTACTTTGTGTAGGAATTTGAAGCCATAAATATCATTTATTTTCTTATGATGTTCGGTCAAAATAAGTTGTGTGAGAATAAATATTCTTTACTGTAATATGATTTTTAGTTTCTCTTCCTTGTTGTCTTCGTGACTACTGCTTGAATGCAATTTATAATTTATTTAAGGTAATTTTTTCAAGGTCTAGAAAAACATATAAAATTATTTTTTTAATTATTTATTTATTTAATAGTCTTGTTAATTAGACTTTTTTTCTTGTATGATTCTATCTACAAATAGCCCTACCACGCAAGTTCAAATCGAAAAATTCGAAAAGGTAAAATTTGTCTGGGCCCTTCAAATTTCTGGAGACGGCCCTGCTTACATTGGGAACCAAAGTCCTCTTTTTTCTCTAAACGACCCGTACTGATGGGTTAGACGGGTCGGCCGAATCCTGACCGTTAGATCTCAACGGTCAAGATGATTCAACGGTCATATTTGAAA